ACACACACACACACACACACACACACACACACACACACACACACACACACACACACCAATACATATTTACAAATCAGTACACACATAAGTATACACACAAACTCACACAATACACATATCAGAACACACACAAACGTATCAGTGCACAAACACAAACACACACACGCACTCACACACACACACACACACACACACACAGCAAGCGGAATATTCTCCTCATTAAAACAGACAGAAGTCAGTCAATAATCAGCTTAATCAGTGTCAGCTCTGGGGTTTTGTCTCAGAGTCAGTCTGAGCTGCTGTATTGATCTCCGCACAGCTCATTAATCATGTTCAGATCAGTTAATTAAGATTTAAACATCATTAATGATCATCTGATGAGGATGAGCGGAGCCGCGGCAGGAAACCTCAGCCTCACATTAGCGCGCTAACAGTCCGGCTAACTGTCGAACAGCACTCGAGAAACACAGTAAGAGCTGCACCTGAGAAACACACTTTAACAACACAGACGACTGAAAAAACTCACTTTCGGCATAAATGTTGACAGAAAAGGGAAGATGTGATGTCCTACCTCGAGCACTTCCTGAAAGCGTCTGTCAGAAAGCCGCGGAGACACCGCCCTCTTCCGCCGAGCTGTGTCAAGAGGAATCATGGGACTTGCAGTTTTGTGTGTCGATTTTTTGCGGCCACTTTATTAGGTACACCTGACAAAATGCGGGTTTAACACAAATGTCTAATCAGCCAATCACATGGCAGCAGCTCACTGCATTTCGGCATGAAAGCATGGATCATCCTGCCTTGTATCAGCGGTTCAGGCTGGTGGTGGTGGTGTAATGGTGTGGGGTAGATTTTCTTTGGGTCCATTAGTACCAATTGAGCATCAACGCCACAGCCTACCTGAGTATTGCTGCTGACCATGTCCATCCCTTTATGAGCACAGTGTCTCCATCTTCTGATGGCTACTTCCAGCAGGATAACGCAGCATGTCATAAAGCTCAATCATCTCAGACTGGTTTCTTGAACATGACGATGAGTTCACTGTACTCAAATGGCCTCCACAGTCACCAGAGCTCAATCCAATAGAGCAGCTTTGGGATGTGGTGGAACGGGAGATTGGCATCATGGATGTGCAGCCGACAAATCTGCAGCAACTGTGTGATGCTATCATGACAATATGGAGCAAAACCTCTGAGGAATATTTCCAGCAGCTTGATGAATCTCTGACACCGAGGATTAAGACAGATCTGAAGGTGAAAGGGGTCCGACCTGGTACTAGTAAGGTATACCTAATAAAGTGGCCGCTGAGTATAGATGGATATTTTAAATCAATATTTTACACACTGTAGTCATGCATATATGTATATCATACACAGTACACACACACAAATATATTTTGTAAATATGAACTTTTATTTTGGATAAGAGGGCAGCACAGTGGCTTAGTGGTGTCGCACTTTGGCCTCACAGCAATAACGTTGCTGGTTCGAGCCCTGGCTGGGTCAGTTAGTGTTTCTGTGTGGAGTTTGCATGTTCTCCTGGTGTTGGCGTGGGTTTCCTCCGGGTGCTCCGGTTTCCCCCACAATTCCAAAATTGTGTATAGTGTATGTGTGTGAATGAGTGCAGATGGGTGTTTCCCAGTGCTGGGTTGCAGCTGGAAGGGCATCCGCTGTGTAAAGCATATGCTGGAGTAGTTGGTGGTTCATTCCACTGTGGTGACCCCTGACTGATAAAAGGACTAAGCCGAAAAGAAAATGAATTGTGGATGAGACTAATCAAGAATTTCAGGATAATTTTGTGATATTATACAAATCATATTTATGCAGAATTTATTTTTATTTGCTGAAGAATGAAATGGGGGACAGGAAGAGACATATGAGCTTCTTTTATAAGTCTAACAAAAAATAAGAATGGTAAACTATCAAAATTATATAGAGTTTTCCAAAACACGTTTAACTCCTTACTGTCATAAACACCCATTATGTGCTTGTGTGTGTGTGTGTGTGTGTGTGTGTGTGTGTTCCACCAGGGGGCGACCCTCGTTTATAGCTGCAGTAAACGGAGGAATGTTTTACTCCTCAGTCAGTGTTCATCTGAGTGTTTATAAGAGGAGGAGAGCAGGAGTCAGAGAAGCTGTAAACTGTAGAGTCTAGCTTTAGATGAGAGTGTGTGTGTGTGTGTGTGTGTGTGTGTGTGTGTGTGTGTGTGTGTGTGTGTGTGTGTGTGTGTGTGTGTGT